TTTTTTTGCGAGGAGATTTATTTCTGGTGGAAATTAGTTTTCATTCTTGCAACGTGGATTATTTTCTGCCGTTTCCGCTTGAATTGAGTTCTCTTTATCGTTCGCGATAAATACTAACGCCCCCAAAAATTGTACCATCGATGACTCGAACTCTCGTATTGGAGATATTAAAATCTGTATTGGAAGAGTTGTATCTGGGGGGAAAAAAATAAGTAACAAATAATTATGAATTAATTAGCAACCGGAAAAAGATTGTAAAATTTATTTTAAAGAAAGCAGAAATTTGTGAAAACCAACTGTTGTAAGTCTATAAAATTTCCATATTAAATTACGAATAAATTATTTTTCTAGTAAAAAAGAAATCGATTGTCAAGCCGCTCTGTAATTTTGCCTGATATCATCACTTACTCATTTCAATCGATGAGAATTCAATTTATATATTATAAACTAAAATGACGTATCATTCACTTTTCGTCCACTCTATTTACTGCCGGCTTTTCTAAGGAAATTTATTTTTTAAGAAAATCATTCATCGCTGTAACGTGGATTATTTTCTGCTGTGTTCTTAATTGAATTTTGTATATTATTTACGGTGGATGTTATATCCGTTTCGCAAAGAAGCAGGATATTAAAATTCGAGTTATCCGAGGAATTACATTTTCCGAAGTTCTCTCATGTCTCCCTTATTTTAAATCGCATCACCGGTACCGATGGAATCCGGTTCATATATTTACAGCGACGTAGCATTATTATACCTTCCTCTATTAAAGTCATATTTACTTGAGTCCTTTAATTTCTTTATGGCTTCAGGCTATTTATTTATCTTAGTATACGCAGAATAATTCAATCTATCGCTTTCTACATCGATTTTCATCAATATCCTCGGAATGACAATAAACAGATGCGATATTTTCTAATAAATTCGATAAACGTAAAATTACAGAGCAATTCCTTTCATGTCTTCCCTTTTTTGTTCGTATACTGATTTTCAGAAACACAGCTAGACATTAAGAATGTGTGAAAAAAAAAACGGTTTTTCAATTCAGTGAGGCGCGATTGAAAACGAGATGAGTTATAATTGCGCTAGATCAGAGCTAACTGGCGGTCCGCGGGTCTTTGCCCCTACTTTTCTGATCACTAGTGGGGGAATATAGCTGTGGAGGGGATATAGCTGTGGAAGGGGTATAGCTGTGGAGGGAGTATAGCTGTGGAGAGGATGTAGCTGTGGAGGGGGTATAGCTAGCGATCAGGAAAATAGAGGCAAAGGCCGCCAGTTAGCCGGCTCAGCGCTAGATAATTAACCAATCTCGAAGGCCTGATCGTCCATTGACGCATTTTTTCTCGTTGATTGCAGCGCTTAAAATGTCTGGAACGGAGGCACATGGCGGTGACACGAGTCCCACGCGTGAGCCAAGGTAATTAAAAAGAGATACATACCTTTTGATTTGGCTAGTGTCGAGGACACTCTCAAAGTCCATTCGGTCTCTCTCTATGTTGCTTCTGTTTTCAAAATTCCACGCGTTTAATGGGATAACTTTCTCGAGTCGAGGCTGATTGCTCCGAGATCCGTTTGCTCTTCGCATTAAAAGCGTCGGTGACGGAAACGTTTTTTTTTTTTCTTTGTTTTCTCCTTCTGTCTTCTTACTTTGTAACCGAGAACTTGGTACGAACGCGGCGGGATATTTAATCACCGAGTCTCCGCTTTCTGTCCTTAATTACAAAACTGAGACTACGAGGGAGAGTCTTGTGAAACAAAGACTGGAAAAGGAAAATTTCTCGTCGGTTCAATTTTCCACGTTCGTTCGAAATGTATTGATAACGAACGTGCTTGTCTCGTCCAATGCGCTTCAAGTTTTCTTTAACACGACAATATCCAATGAAAATATCTGACGAAGGATTTTCTTGATGAAAGAACCTTTTTATTTGGTATATCTGTAACTGTACCTAATTATATTACCAAGTTGTGGATCTTACGATAAATATCATTACGGACAGACTATTTACGTATTGGATTAATCCACAAGTCAAAGTTGAGTTTACAATGAAATAGAGAACTTTGATTTGTTAATGGTAACAAGTCGAAAATAGAAGAAAATTATCAATTGCCATTAAGTAATTGGGATGGCCTGACAATCGTTGGAGCACATCATCACCCAAAGAATCAGGCAATTCGACAAGGATCCCTTTCGATTCATACGAAAAGCAAATGATTGATAACGAAGGACTGACGAAGTTCGTGTCCCTAATTACCAGGCTCCTCGGAGCTGTAAACATCCTCGTTCTAAACATGTCCTCAACGCGCTGTATGTATCAAATTATGATGACATCGCACGATGATGCTCATCCTCGATATTAATTGAGGAATTAATTATCTCAGATCTCTGTGACTCAGCCTCGGAGGACGGATTTCGGGCGAACAGTTTCTACAGAGGAAGCTGGTCTGTTAAAAGGCCACTCACTGATACCGACTGTCTAATTGGCGAGTTCGATCCATCAAAGACGCGCGACTAATAGTAAAGTAATTGACATCTTTGCGAATTCGATCGATGCTCTCTCGCAAAGACGATTACGACCAATGACCACAGAGATCAGCGTCCAATTTATCTTTCCTTTCTTTCCCTTTCCTTTTCTTCTGGATTCGTTCGTTTCCCACCAAAAACGATAATGTTTCCTTGCGAACATTTCAGGCAGAGTAGAATTCACAGCGTCGGATTACCGGCACGAACGTCCTTGCTTCCGGAACCACCGCCCGCCGGAAGCGGCACTCCACCGCCGATACCGCGCCGCCATTCCGCAACACCTGCGGTACGTAAACTTCAAACGGCCTCGCTGTTTCAATTAATAATCCGATTCTGGTTTAATCGGCACGCCGCTTCACGCGTGTTCGACCGAGAAATTAAAGAATTTCGTTGAACAGGAAATGGAAAAGAAAATGGAAATCGTCTGCGTTCTCGCAGAGAGGAGAGTCTTCTCAGAGAACTAGATTGTAACTAGAT